CCCACCACTTAACCTCTCTGTGCCTCAGTTTCCTCATCTGTAAAATGGGGATAATAACAGTACCTCCTCCATATGTTCCTTATAAAGATTAACTGTGATTATGGTGTGAGAGTGGTAAGCACTCAGTAAGTGTTAGACATTTGTCATTATTATTATTACTATTATCTCCTAATTGTGGACATTTAAATTCTGATTTTATTCTATTGCAAGTGACACTGTGATAATCTCTCTGCTCAGGGGAGTTTTGTGGGAGCATCAGAGAGCTTGTTCCATCCCCCAGCCTGAAATTAAGCACAACAGGGATAGAGAGAGCAAGGTGTGCTAGGGGACCTCTTGGCTGAAAGTTAGAATAGCAGAAATTGGCCACTGGCAGCCTGGGGAAAGGGCAGCCCAGGCAGGGGGAATGGCATCTGCAATGGCTCAGAAGCTTGAAAGAGCCTGGGGAATTCTGATGTGGTTGTTGGGGCAGCAATTCTTGTCCCTGTTTGACCAATGGGGCAATTGAGGACCAAAAAAGGGAAGCCACTTGTCTGACTGCATGGATAGGAACCAGGTCTGAGCCTCCCGACTCCCTGCTCCGTGCTCCCCACATGCTTGGGTGCTGTCATGCCCTCCTGAAAAACATCTGCGCGCTTGATGGCAGGAAGAAGAGATGAGGAAGGAGGAACCAGGTCTGAGCCTCCCGACTCCCTGCTCCGTGCTCCCCACATGCTTGGGCGCTGTCATGCCCTCCTGAAAAACATCTGCGCGCTTGATGGCAGGAAGAAGAGATGAGGAAGGGGAGGAGGAGGAAGAATTTGGGGCTTTCAATGGCTGGATGCCTGTGATTCCCCACCCAGACAAGGCCCAGCTGTCCCACGAGGCAACCTAGCATGCACTGCGAGGTGGAGCCCAGTCTCAGCTCCATTTGTCTCCACGTCTTCTCCTGACACCTCCCGAAACGCAGACCCCTGGGCTGGCAGCTGGCAGGTCTCCTGAGACTCCACTCTCCCCTCCCATTCCTGTATCCTAGTGGCCTTGTGGACAAAGGCTGGAAAGCAGGGGCCCATTTCAAGTTATTATCCAGAGTACATAATTAGGTTGTGCCTCACCCTGCCTTTATTTATTTATTTACTGAGCGGTAAGGGGATCACAACCCTCGGCACGGTGTTGTCTGCACCATGCTCAGCCAGTGAGCGCACCGGCCATCCCTATATAGGATCCAAACCCGTGGCCTCGGTGCTACCAGCGCCGCACTCTCCCGAGTGAGCCACGGGGCTGGCCACCCCACGTTTATTTAAAGAGGGAGTGTGACCATGGTTCCCAGTGCTTCTGCCAAGAGGAAGGAGCCCGAGAAGTCCAGAGAGAACTAGGGGCGTGGGCAGCATGGGGTTTGGGGCCTTTGAGGCCTGGCCAGCCTGAGGCATAGGCTCTGACAAGTGAAGTTTGAGGGCTCCTGAAAGTTCTCCAAAACCTTTCCTGCCACCTGTTACCCCTCAAGGTCCACCAATAGAATCTCAAAGGCTTTCTAAGTGCTAAGGAAAATGCAAATTAAAAATTCTTGGAGCACTTCTACCCTTTATGGTCTGAATTTGAGAGCTTTTCAGTAGAAGCCCTATTGCTGTCTTAGTCCAAACATTTCTGTGTAACTCTTTCACATACCGAGGAGCTCCTGCCCCCTGCAGTTTACAGAGGGTAGTGCAAGGATTGGGAGATGTCAGTCCCACAATGGCAGAAGCTCTGCACCCGAGGTCTTGGGAATTTATCTACTCGTGGGACCTGGCATTTCTGAAAGGCCATTATGAATTAAACCTCAGACTCAGAATGTATGAACGGGAGGGATACCTGAGATTTCTAGACCCTTTCTCTTATGGGGCAGAAAGAAGAATAGGGAAACCTTAGAGAAGGGAAGGGACTTACACCCATACTACTTGGTGGCAGAGCTGGTACTAGACCACAGGACTCCTGATTTCAGCCCCAACTCTACAGGGGACCCTTCCATCAAAGAGCAGTGAGGGGACATTCAGCACCAGCCAGGGTGCAGCCATGAAGAGCTCACAGTTCCTGCCCTTGAGGACCTCCTAGAGGCTGATGAGGACATGGAAACAGGAACTCACCTGAATCAGGGTGAGTGGGGGTTGGCAACGGTAGGTCCAGAGAACTGTGGAGAACAGGGTGGTGAGAGAGACATCAGAACGTTTCTAGGGAGAGTTAGTCCAGGAGGTTGAAGGATGAGTGGGACTTCTTTACCAGGGGAGTTAGGGAAGGGTATTCCAGGAAGGGAGAAAGGCAAGGGCACAGTCCAGGAAAAGGTGGCTGATTTCTCCTGCTCCCCAGTGGATTTCCCGGGGCTCCCCAGTGGATTCCCAGGATCCAGGGCAGACCCTCCCACCTCAGGGCCCACGGACGCAGTCTGTAACCCTTATGGGAGCATACACATCTACAAAGAGATTGGTCGGACACGTGTGTTTCAATCTAAAAGAGTGACCCTCTGATGGTGGATATGCAGGCACGTGACAGATGCTGAACAAATCCTTTCTGGGGCAGTGGTGGTGTAAATGCTTGTATGTGTGTGCTGCTGTGTGTGTGTGGGGGGGGTGCCTCTTCCTCGGTCTTAATTCTGTTGACTTTCAAATTGCAGTTTAAGAACCACCTGCTCACATCAAACTGTGGAGGTGGCCACTCTGTCCCTCCCTCACCTGGACCATGTTCTCTCTGAGCCTCAGTCTACCCACATGTACAATGAGGCAGGTGGGCTTGTCTGTCTCTAGGGCCCCTTCTGCGTGGGGCGGGTTCTTCAGCCCAGTCTCAGGCTCTCCCTTTGCTGGGATGGCAGAGGTGCCCTCTGGTGGCCAACATTGGCCATGCAACCTTGGACCAGGCAAGACTCCTTGCTTGGCCTCTGTGGGGTGTGTGTGTATGTGTTTGTGTGTGTGCACACGTGTGTGTGAGCGTGCTTGTGTATTGAGAGTGGTAACACAGGATGTATGTGACAGACTCATGATCCATAGAATGCAGGATCTTATCCCCTAATGAAAACACAGGCAGAGAGGTGGAGGCCATTTAAAACAAAGGAAAAGCTGGCAAAACCTTTCTGGGGTCTGCCTGGGGCTCCCAGGATTACAGAATGCCCTGGGCCATCTTCTTGCTCATACACTAAGAGCATCACTCCTCTGCTCAAAATCTCATCCTGTTGCTCCTCGGTGGAACGGAGTAAACATCAAACTCCTGGCCCTCCAGAAGCTCACCCCTGCTTGGCAACCCCTGTGGCCTCATTTCTTACTCTCCTCCTTTCCTATCCCGCTCCAGGTGACCTACTCCATCCTTTCCCACATCCTAGCCTCTGCTTATTCTGGCTCTTTTCCCAGAGTGTCCTACCCTCTCCTTTAGTCCCCACAGCACCTTTCAAGACTTGGCTAAAATGCTTCCTCCTCCAGGAAGACTTCCTGAATTTTTCCACGTGGGTCTGCACTCTCCTTCCTTTGAACCTCCTGGCAACTTTGTCCACACTTGTATGCCGGGATGTAGAGGGTTTATAGTTTACCTAGGTAACTTGGGTTGAGGATGTACTGTTTTGTGTCCCCTCCCTGAGAACTGGTTCCTTGTCTGCTTCATATCTGGGTCCTTCCAAACACTGAGCCCTCCCCACTGGCATCCAGGCTGTCCTCTGCAGGTCCCTGATTCCCACTCCTCCCCTCTGCCACCTCTGTGCCCCTGGCTTCAGCAGGTAGGGGTTGCTGTCATGGGAGGAGGTCTGGCAGTAGAGGATGAAGAAATGAGCCTTGGGTCCTACGTGTCAGCAGGCAAATGGCCACCCGGCACACAGGCTCCAGCTGCTGAGCTGCATGTGGGAGGCTGGGCTCTGGGTGCCCAGAGTGAAGGGTAAGGCCCAGGTCACTGTCTGGCTCTTTCCTTCAAGGACAGAGGTAATAACTACAGCCGTAACGGTAATATTCCTGGCTATTTGTAGAAGTCGCTACTGTCAGTGCATGCTCTATCACGTGAAATTCTCACACACATACTTTCAGATGGGGAAACAAGAGCTCAGAGAGGCTGAGTAAATGCTCAGGATCACACAGTCCTGAGTGTGAGTGCTCAGACGCAGTCGCCGCCTGCCGGCTGTCCCCATGTCCTCTGGAGTACTCTGCTGTTGTTGTGCCTTACACATAGTAGGCGCTTGATGAGTTCCTAGATGAATGTATAACTGTCTTGTACACTTTGACTTCCAGACCACCCCGGGCCCATGTGTGTGCCTCTGCGTGTGGGAAGACTGGCAGAACTGGGATAGTCTGAGAGCGGAATGGGTCCGTGGCTGACGGGGGAGGTGGTGCCTGCTGTGCAGGAGGGGTGAATTCCCTGACTTTGGGCGCTAGGGGTTACTATGTTCTGGGCATGACGAGGACTGGCACCCACTGGTGCACTGTCCCAGTTGGGTGGGATCTGTGATGCTGTAGCCCGTGGATGTCCCACAGCTTCAGGGGCCGCAGGGAGGTCCCACGGCCAGGAGGACTGGCCTGCAGGGTGAGGACCTGGAATTAACCCAACTTCTCTGAGCAGCAGATGCTAGGTCAGGAGTAGCTGTGCAGGAGATTTATTAGGGAACATGTGTGTGAGGGAAAATGGGGAAGGAGCCAGGCGAGGCTGGGGGGCCGGCAGACCACAGCGCAGGCCTGTCACTGACTGGAAGGAGCCTGTGGGAAGTGCAGCTTCCGCAGACACGTGCCTTGGTGACAGGTTTTCGAGCCAGGGGCTGAAGCCATTGGTCGCTTATACTGCTCTCAGCCAGCGATCTGAGAGGGGCATTTCCAGGTCACCACAGATGTTCTGCCTCTCAGGGGTCCTCTCACCAGCCTGGCCTGGAGGACTGCCACCAGCACCACAGTCAGAGGGAAGGAGATTTCGGGCCTCTGTCACCCAGGAGAGAAGTTGATTGGCCCAGACTGGGTCAGATGTCCAGCTCCGGTCCAGTCAACTATGGCCAGAGGATGGAGCACTGGCCCAGCTGACCACTCCACAGGGGCTTAGAGCCCGATTTCTGAAGTGAAGGTGCCCATGGAGCTGGTGGTGTCATAGGGTGTGGGCACTGGTAGGGGAGATAAGGCCGTGTGAGATGTAGGTGGCACTCTTGGTGAATGCGTCCTTTCACTGTGACACACAGTGGCTCCACCAGGCCAGGACTCTGGCTCATCTTGGGGCTGGGGCGTGCACACTGCCTGTCCCTGAGGAGTGCTGGGGCAGGCCTGCCCTGCTATTGTCCACCCTAAAAGGCTGACCTCTGCTGGCCAGGACAGGCCCTACACCTACCTGATGGCCACCACCCCAGGACAGGAACATCGGGATCTGTCTTCCCCATTATTCTTTTTTTATTTTTTATTTTTTATTTTTTTTAATTTTATTTATTATTATT